TACTGAGAATCGTAACCTGCTTCCGTGACGAAGGTCCATTCATTCTCCGCTTATTCGAAAGTTATGTTCCTGGGCAAAATATCTTCCTTCCTCCCCTCCCTCCCCTTCCCCCGCCCTCTCCCCGCCCTTAATTTTATCCAACCGCATCGATTTTTGCATGAGTCCGTATCCAGGACACGAAAAGATTCGGCAAGGAGGGAGAAGTGGCAGAATATATACGTTCTTTATTCTTGGAAAGATGCACCGATAACTTCCGACAATCGCGTGGAATAATCTGTCGATCTTTGTGATTCAATGTTACCGAGAACGCAAAATGTCATCGATCGCCACGACGGATGGATTTCCATTTGGTAAATCGATCGCGTGTCTCTCGTAAATTCTCACTTTCAGTTAAGTGACATTTGCACGGGCTTTGCATTCGTCAGGCCTCGCAATCGCGTTAGAATCGAGACTTACAATTTGCTCAATGTTGAGTGATCGCTTGGACATTTAGCAAATCTCATGTACCACTCGGCCTTTCTTCTCGAATGTATTACTCATATTTTCTCAGACTTCTCTCCACTTGGATATTCAATCTTTCTTCATATTTAAAGACAGTTAATTTAAATCATATAAAGATAATTAATTTAAAGGCTAATAAATAACTCACGATTATTAATATTATTGACGCTTAAATGAACAATTAAATGGCAAGAATACAAAATGCGGCGATCAAAAAAAATCTTGTTGATCGGAGAGACAAAGTCTGTCCCGAATTTTTTTTTCAACAGCGAACATCTAACGCTTAATGAAGTTCACATTAGGCAGTTGAAGTTCACATTGAGACAAAATTTTGCAACTGACGTGAAATATTAAATTTTGAAATTATTAAGAGACCTTTGTGTATGAATGCAGACATCGGCGAAAATACTTTGAGAAGAAGATAGGAGGCCGTGCCAATTTTCGTCAGAGATCCCTGAAGGCTTCGGATATCTTTGTGTGCTGCGTTCGCGCTTCTACCGTTCGACTCGATATTACCGTTGGAAATCTTCCGGCCTACTTGACGTTATAAAATATTGAAGAATAAGAGCAAATACCACCGGAAGAACAGTCAGCGAAAATTCAAGGACAAGCCTTTCCTCGTCCGATATCCCGAAATCTGTTCTTTGCAAATTTTTTTTTATCACCCTAATGCAAAGGAACGATTCGTAGGACGATTTCGATTTTTATACGGGCGATATCAGGGAAAAGAGGGTGACCATTGTAACGCGAATCACACGAAGTTCGAGAAATGATGAAAGATGTAAATCGACAAGATACAAGTGGAAAGTTTTTCCAAAATCGACGGACGTTTTCTCTAACCCGATGAGATACTTGATAAGTCGACTCAAGTTTCTTTTGAGTGCAATTCTGGAAGGGAGAAAGTTACAAGACCGATGGGACGATCCTTCCGGTGATGGCAACCGTTGTTTGTGACGTCAATCAAGTATCTCGGATTTCGAAACGGAGCTTCGCTTCGTCATTCAGATAGTAGTTTTACACACGCATCAACATAAAACAAATCGAAATATTTTTGAAAGTTAAAATATTCTTTAAATATTTTTTTTTACTTATTCCGGTCGGATCGTGGAGAATCATTGCTAATATATATTTGGAATCTGACAAATATTGAACTATAGCGTTACGCATGTAAGACAGAGTCGTAGTGGGGGTTTGCTGTGAAAAAAATCGCAACATCTAATTAGGAAGATACGAGAAAAGTTGTTCGCGTGCTTCGCCTCGCGAGGCTATTAAATAATTCGTCAGATAACATGCCACAACCGCACGAACGCTTTCGCTTATTAATTCCTCTTCCTGCGAGAATGATAACTCATGTTGCGCGGTAGCATCGCAGATAATCTTATCTCAAGCTCGAATAAAAATCAAACGGCTAATGAGTAAAGTTGGTAACAGAGTGATAATCAACCCGGTAACGCCATGCGCTAATGAGTTGCGAATTATTCCATGTACTCGACTCGTCGGCAATTATAACAAAATGTAATGCCAATTATATGAATACGAGCGATATATATTTATTCATCAATGACAATGTAAATGCCGGGAAAATTGATATCATTATTATACGTGGGAAAATTTTATTGTAATCTAATTTTATTGCAAGATTGCAAATTTATATATAAATGAATTAACGACGTTTAGAACAGCGATAATTAGCGGAACGGATTGTGATTGATTTTATCGGTGTTAAATGGAGAGAAAGTGCCAACAAATAGTTATCCCAATGTAACATAGTAATCGTAGTAATTACAGAATTTACAGTAATCGTAGAATATCGTGTTGTTAATTAACATATCCACGTAAGACGCGTTTTTCTCAAGCGGGGAAACGCGTAGGCATCTCGCGCGTGAAACGCGTGTAATGTTCCTTTACGTAATTACCCTATAATTATCCCTCCTGATAAATCATTATCGCGAGACCTCGTCGCAAAGCGTTGTCGACTTCTAAAGGTGTGAACCAGAGTCACACAGAGATTTAATAATCTCAGATTTAATAATAGATACACCGCCGCATAATTGTAATCCCCTTTAAATATTGAGTGAAAATTTGAGTGCTAATCCACCGAAAGTTGTCGCGGCGCCGCGGCGCACGACAATTTCCCCATAATTTCTATGGCTACACGCCGTCTCGAAATTCAAATCGGGCACCGCACACAGGCGCCTCCGGTAATTAGAAAGTTCATTACCCTCCCACAACGGGAGGGTGACAACGGCGGAGAAACTCGTTGTATCTCCGTTGTAGAAGCACGGCGACACCGTGTGTGGGGTGTTTCTCCCGGCTTTATCGCTTTGGTTACTTGCGTCTGTCCGCATTCGTATCATCGGCAGGTATCCGCCATATTGACGGCGAAGCCCACACGCATCGCCCACTAGAAAAGCGCCCTACGTCCTACGGACAGAACTCACTGTCAGATAACAGCTGTAGAATACAAAGGGAAGGCAAGGATAAGTAAAGTACATACATTGCGAACGCTTCGTCCACGCAAAACGCCCTTCTCCTTTCCGGCACGCGGTCTTTTGTTTTCAATCAATTTTTATCGATCGATTTTTTCAACTATTTCAGATTTAATGTCGGGACAATAATCTCAAATAGGATTATTTCACATTTCGCAGATTACGGCAAGGTTACGCTCGATTCGATTACGCATTACGAGATTTCGCGAGACAGACGTCAAAATCACACGATATATTCTGGGCACAGAACATGTCCGTAATATCGTTATCGGTTAACGCAATTTTCACGTAACGTCTTCGTCGCACAGGACACTGCGAGCACTATATTAGTTTCATTATTTAAAATGAAATTACAGTAAGGTGAAACCCCCCCCCCTTTCCTTGTAACCGACTCACGCACACTTTCCTTTCGATATTTATAAGGGCAAACACAAATAAATAATTATTGGAGAAAATTTCGCTGTTTAAAATTAAAGATTTGATATCAATATTTTCAACAAAATGAAGCCGATTCGCGATTTTGACGTGGAAAAGACGTGTTCTCGAAAATACTTCTCTCGCCTTATGCAATTTGCGCGGGTCATAATTCGTTTTGTACGTTATAATACTTAACGTATCGCGCTGTCAGTGGCAGCGAGCTTGTTCCGTAAAACGTTTATAAGTTGCGACATGCGACGACCGCGACTGGCACAATGTCGTTCCGAGTAATATCATTATTTTGCTGCGCCGTGGAAGTTATTACGGGACGCGATTCACTAATGCGCGTCGAACATCATTCCTCGGATTTACCATCGCCGTCGTCGTTTCGCTGGAAATTCCGCCGGAAAAGTTGGCGTCGTTTTCCCGGGGGGGAAAAGAATAATTGGAAAACATTGTGGCATTTTGATGAACCCGCGACGGGCGATGACACACGCGGTCCAACCCCGTCATCATCTTATTCGTTCGTACTGTATGCATTGTTGATATCACCCTCCGATATGCAGCTCGCGTCAAATAATCCAAGTGGAAATGACGCGCTACGACTCGTATGAACGAGAAGATATTTGTATCCTATCTTTCATTCTCCTGCGAAAGAGGTATCGCTAATAATGTCATCACTGATGACTAACGCCTACGATAAACCGAGTGGAATCCAAATATTGGGAGTAACCGGAAATTAATTCCTTCATCTTTAAGCAGTTTATAAAGTGAGTTCTACATTTCGATTCTACGTTCAGATATGAATGGGATGTCTAATTGCAACGCGTTCCGCGAAATAACCGAGCAGTGACTTTATTCATGAATAAGTAAACTGAGGCGGTGTAATGTGCTATCACTTGGCCTAAGTACACAACCGCGTGATGCTTAAATATTGCGGTGGCATTTGTTGTTACCGCGTAGACCGAAAATGTTAATTACGTTTTGACCACGATATCCGTGGTAACTAAATATGAGCTTTAATCCCGGCGGTCTTCTCCGTTCGAGGTGCGCACACGAGTGTAAATTTTATGTTCCGAAGAAGGCTATATATGGTTGTGACATTAACGATTAGAAGCAAACGTAGTTACTTCTAATCATAGATGCCGCGAATTAATTGCAACCGTATTACCGTAAAACGGGAATAAGTCATAGTACAAGAAATTTATCATCGAGAATTGTCACCTACACACATATGCGAAGGGATCAGTGTCATGTATAATGCAAAAATTATTTTTTATTTTTCATTTATTTTTTTTCTCATCTTCTCTCTCTCTCTCTCTCTCTCTCTCTCTCTCTCTCGAAGTCGATGGAACCAGCAATGTTACATAACCGAACACAATTCCTGCATGGATTATCCGTAAAAAAAAAAAAATATGCATTCCCGTTCCTGTGTCTACAGCGAACAATTATCAGCTCGCTCATCCTCCAACCGCCCCTTTAGAATAGTAGTCATCCCCGTAACACGGGGCGAAATACACAGACGCGCGAGAACAACGACGACAATCCTGAGAGCTTCCATTGAACGGCGAAATGGCGTTGTGTGTGTTCCAGCAGCATCCGAACGCGATCAACAGTAGCGAGACGAGCGTGGGCGGTGCGTCGGGTGCGTGCGGAAGCATTCCGGCACCCGGGGAGGCCGGATGCAGCAGCAGGGGTGGCAGCAGCAGCGGCGCCGGTGGCGGTGGCGGCGGCGGCAGTGGCACAGGCGCCGGACAAGGATGCGAGCAGGCCCATCATGGGGGCCCGTCCTCTCACTCACGGGAGAGCCACGCAAAATTCCGTCACGGCCTGCTACAGCTTATGATCCACACGAT